TACTTAGTATTTTGAAATCCACCAAAAAAAATGTCCAACAAACACATCCAGCCCAACCACATCATTAACATGCGCGAGCTGCCGCCCACTTTCGACATCCCGGCAAACCACACTGTCGAGAAGGGGACCAGCACGGTAGCGATACGCACAAGGGCGCGCGAGAAGTCGTTTTTTACTGTTGTGCTTGGTTGCCATGGTAATGGACAGAAATGGCCACCTATGATGATTTTTAAGCAAAACGAAGTTTCCAGCTGGAGTCAAAGTGAATTTGCCAGCGACGTGGGAGCGACGGCGAACACAGCTTTACTACGACTGAGAGGCAGCGCCACAATTGGTCGAGCGTCGTATGGTCGAGAAAATATTGTAGCCCAGCACATGGCTGTCCGCAGACAGTCCTAGTTGAGTGGGATCTCAATGACATCCTCCTCAATGATGTCTCCGTGCGGAAGGGTGTCCAGCTCTGTGGAGCTCTTCTTGCAGCTCATCCCAGAGAAGGGACTGCACCAGGTCAGGGAGAACGGGCCACCGAACGCCATCTTCATGGCCTCCCAGCACGGCGCCTTCTCCCACTTCCCCGTCTCCCCCTTCAAGCGTTCGATTCCCTGCAGAAGACAGAGTTACGGTCTGAGCTGAGGTTTGGTATCAACATGCAAGGGTTGCTATTCATTATTCTCCGAGTAGGACTCAATGTGGGACTGTTATTTGCTCTTTGGGGTTATGGAAGGGAAAAAAAAGATCTACAGAATGATTTAAGTCTCAATACAATACTCATTTCAGTTTGTTTGCACTAATTCAAATGACTGACTTCAAGTCGTGTGGTTCAGGGTTCGAAACATGGCGACGGCCTGCCTGAGTGGTGCTTGCGTGTTTGGGATCTCTGGATTCCTCCCACATTTCCAAAACATGCACCTTAGCTGAACTGAAATCTCATTTGTCCATAGGTGTGAACATGAGTGTGAATAGTTTGGCTAATTGTGGCTCTCCGATTGCCGTTTGGTGTGCCCCACTTATCGCCCCAAGTCAGCTGGGATTGACTCCACGAATGAAATGATATTGAAAATGGATGGCTGTTGAGAGGTTACTTGAATCATTGTCCGAACAGGCCTGTTCATTTCTGAGCATCATGCTGGTGCTTCAGAAAAAGAGGAAGAAGGTTCAAACTAAGAGCACAAGTTTTTTTTCTCCTTGCCTTCCTGGGGGTTAAAGTCAGGGGATGTCGTGAATACTTGTCAACTGTGGGCATGTGAAGCCCTTTGAGACTGTTTGTGATTAAGGGCTGTATAAATAAATGTGACTTGACGAGGAGGTTTCTGACTTGCAGTTAACCCATTGAGAGACTTGTCAATGTAGGAGACATAGTTTCTTCAGTAGTGTGAGAGCAAAAACTACCGTACATCGCATCTACATCTGGCAGTTGAGTATTGTATTAAGAATTGATGGATTGAGTAAATACAGTGGTTTGCGAAAGTATTCAGCCCATGAAACTATTTGAACTTTTGCCACATTTCAGGCTTCAAATATAAAGATTTAAATTTGATTTTTTTCCTGAAGAATGAACACCAAATAGGCCACAATCATGAAGTGGAACGAAATTCATACAATATTTTTTACTTTTCATTTTTTTTTTTAGAAATAAAAAAAAACTGAAAAGTGAGGCGTGCAACATTATTTGGCCCCTTTACTGTCAGTGGAGTCAACTCACTCCAGAAGTTTCCAGAAGATTTAGGAATGATCCAATGTTGACCTCAATAAGTGATGATGATAAATAATCAATCTCAGTACAAATGCACCTGTTCAGTGACAATCGGTCTGTGTAAAACGAAAATTGCATAATGAAGACCAAGGAACGCACCAGGCAGGTCCGAGATACTGTTGTGAAGAAGTTTAAGGCATGATGAGGATATAAAAAGATTTCACAAGCTTGAAATATCTTGCATCGTTCAAGCAATCATGTTGAAATGGAGAGAGTAGCAGACCACTGCCAACCTAGGCTCGTCCTTCTAAACTTTCAGCCCAGACAAGGAGAGCACTGATCAGAGATGCAGCCAAGAGGCCCATGAGCACTCTGGATGAACTGCGCAGATCCAGTGCTAAGGTAAGGGGCATCTGTTAGCAGACTGCACAAATCTGCCCTTCATGGAAGATTGGCAAGAAGAGAGCCATTTCTCAAAGACAACCATAAAATGTCCCGTTTGAAGTTTGCCAAGCCACCTGGGAGAAAAACCAAGCATGTGAAAGAAGGGGCTCTCCTCAGATGAGACCAACAATTGAGCTTTCTGGTCAAAATGCAAAAAAAAAAAAAAAAAAAAATTTTTTTTTTGGAAAAAAAAAAAACACTCCACAAC